CTTTATGCCACATAAGAAAACTGCAGCCATTGCGCTTCCGTGGTCTAGTATCAACCCGGTTTCATATATAAAGTTTGTTATCCAAACTTGGAATATATACAAGCCTGGCCCTTTCTGTAAGTATTCTATTACCGTGACAGAGAATCGTTACGGACGATCTTGCCACGGTTTTGACAGTAATAACGCACTGGTCACTCAGTTTTGATTTATTTTAACTAAAAATTAAACAAGATTATTTTTATTTGAATAAACTGTGCAATCAGTGTCTTCTCACGTTAGAAACCTCTTTGGAAGACATACCAACGACCTTAGTAAATAAATTGTACGATTTCGAGAAGACACCTACTATTTTCGAGCGGAAAGTGATCAATATGGTTCAGAGATGCAAAACTACATGTTTTCTACACTCTGTGTGAAACGCTAAGGACATAACTGTATTCAGAACCCAGTTTCAATGATTGGGATGCACCGCAGCCAGTAGATTTGGTGCGCCAGGTGATAGCATGATTAGTTATGCAACAAACGAACAAATGATTCTTACACCGTTGAACCACTACCAGAGTCATAGTACAGGGAAACAGTAGAAATTATCTGCATAGAATATTGCGCGTACAGGATCAAGTAAGCCTGCGTTGTACATCGTTTGTGTGTAGGAAAGTAGTGATGAAGCATCAGCTGCTGTCGCGCTAAGATCGAAATATGAACCTGATGATCAGCACCGTACGTTATAATAGTAGTAAAGGCACACATCATCGTCGAAGTTATATAACGTTGAGTCGAGAATCGAAGTGATGACTGTCTTCGGGGTATGGAATTTGTGTTATTTAACATGAAAATAGTCTTGTTTCGTTACAGACCCTGCACGCAGTGCCCGACAGCCTGCAGACAAATAAAATTCTGGTCGCTGCCGCTTTCGGCAATCGCGAGTTGAAAGTAGAAGTGCCGAAGGATGTGGAGTCTTGTGTTTTTGGCTGTCCGTTGAGTAGAGTGCGCTTGGTCTTGTTTTCTGTAGAACTTTTGATATTATGTTTCGATTTTTGCTGTTTAGCTTCCTTGCTTCGAGTCAAGCAGTGGCCAGAAGCTCTGCGATGCAAACGCCATTTCTTGCTTCCTTTGTGACGCGCTCAACAACAAGAGCTCCCAAGAACAAGCGGAAATTCTGCAGTGGATCGGCATTGCGGACAACGATTTCGTACCACATGTGCTAGCTTGGGTTCTGCCATCGTTGTCGGCGATGGCATTCAATAAAACGGTAAGTTTCTGCTGTATGAATATGCATTCACTCAGCAAGTCCATCTTTCAACAGCACCTACAAAAAAGTTGTGTAGTTTCGAGAAACTTCTACTACGAAAAAGCTCTCTCAGGAAAATTAAATTCGAAAGAAACCAGAATATAGCAATGTAATGCATATTGTCATACAAAGCACCTAACCGTCGTTTTGCAAGAGTTGGTACACCCATGTTCCATCCTTATAAATGGAAGATGGCGAATCGCTTTTATGTCGATGTGTTGAGGTGTAGGCGTGGAATACATAGCGATGTATGTTACCCCTGACTTGACAATGATGTTGTGACCGCAGTTAGAACCATAAAGGTATTCCCTTGTCATTATGCCATGATAGAGCAACAGCAAGTAGAAATATTGATTGCATGGTGTGGTGCAAACTGCCAGTAGTTTGTACAGTATCTCGTAAACCATCCGAGTTAAACGGGTGGTCTCGGAGAAATGACGAGGGCAGTTGCGGTCGACTACTGTCCACAATTAGGACCCCGCTGACTCAGTCTTAAGTAGGCTTCGAACTGCACTATTGCCGGTTGGAATCCCAATCTGTTTTATTGGCTAATTTCATTGTACAAGGAATTTACCAAGCATTACTTCAGTGCAGCAGGCCGGGAAACGGGTAGCACAGCGTTCACTGGCGAACAATATCAACAGCTTGGCATTCGAGTGTGGTCGTACCAGAATGGACGAAAGGTACCGCTATGCTGTCCGATGCGAGGGTCTCAGAGAATTGCTGTTTGCCTTGACCCATCTGATAGCTGATTATTAAGTGTGATAATCAGTATAAAGGGTACAAAGTGAGTAGCAAGGTTTACTTCAGTAAAGTCTGTACATGTCTTATGTATTTTCATGGCTTTTGGTATAGTATCGATTTATGCAAGAGAGTAAGTCGTTGCAGCTGGTAACGTAATTGACATGTATAAGTGATTGTTAATGATGCCATCTCAAAATTGGTTCAGAGTAGTCTGTAAAATTTCGATGTTTTAGTCTTATAGTAATCCAATACTTGTCATCTTCCGCTATTTGCATTCAGTGATAGCGTTCATGCAAGATGGGCACATCACTAGAAACTCCAGTTTAGTAGTCATGCTGTATGATCAATAAAATAGTGGCGATTTTGTGAAAAACAATTATTCGGGGCGTCATTGCCACAGGTCTTAATGAAAAACCACGGCAGCTGTTTTTTGTGTGTATAAAATAAGGTTTTCATCATTCTCCTCAGCATCAGCCAACTTATTAGTGTTATCGTCACAGTCGTAATGATCATGATGGTTATCATTATCAGTTGTCATCCTCCGTTCAAAGAATGAAGCATGATAAGGTTTCGCGCCCTCCGTCTTGCACTGCTGCGTGATGAATTGAAACAATTCTAGTTAAAGTACATGGCAGCAACCTAAAATTGTATTAACTGAAAATCTAATTTAAAGTAGTGCCATGAAACATCGATGAATCTCTTTGATCGTTGATACGCTTTGCTGTTAGTGCGCGACTGATAACCGAACAAGAAGTCATACAACTGACTGTCTATCATTTGCTTGATGAATATGATGCTGAACTATCTATGTGTTTATTGCCATCATCACCTTTCCTCATAGTTGAGATTTATTGCCCCTTCCATCAAGGCCCTTGCCATGACTCCAATGGCAGCTATAATTATCCCCATCATCACGATCATAATCATTTCGTAACTGTGATTATTGTTTTGGCTGCAGTCACGGTCGTCATCGCATCAGCGTGGTCGTATTGATACTGATTATCGTAATTGTTGTAAATATCCCGATTATCCGTCAAGATATTTTTCATTGACTATCATGTTGGTAAGGAGTCTTAAGCATTATGTCTATCATGACTAAATATGAACACAATCATGATATTTAGCAACATCACCATGATATAAACGAAGTCTTCATGAAGTCTATGAACAGCATAATCTCTTTCAGTACACGAACAAACTAATGGCGAGAGTTTTCAGTGCGGTGCTGTAGAGGAGGCAGGCTGATCCTCCGCTTTGGAAGAGATTGTGTTGAATCAACTTTTCGAATACTAATGGGGCAATTACTATGATAAGAATGATAGTGAGTAGCGGGTGTTGATGACGATGCTCAGAATAATCACTTTCAGAATCTGTTCTTATCCTGAGCATAATGACAATCATTGTCGTCATCCACCGCCTCCCCCTCATCAAAGTTTTTTCGTGATCATGGTTGTAATGTGATTAATAAATACTCTCAAAATAAATACTCCTCTTCGTTATAAACGCCATGACGCGCGTGTTCATCGCCATAATCATAATCGTAATTTTCAGAATAGTCACTTCTGCCATTCCGATTATCTTATCCTGAGATATACTGCCGTCCTTTTCACTTGACGACATATTAGTTATCATAACTATTGTGATGATGATTATGATTAGGATGAATGATCATAATAATTTTGATGATGATTCCCCTAGTGATAGTCATTATCTGCATAATTGTCTCGATAGCCTTGATTGTTGCATTATCAGCGCTGTGCGTGTAGTGTACACAATCATAACTACCTTTACAGCCACCTCTTTTGATTTCGTCGCTAGCAGCACGAGAAAGAAATTATTTGTATTTAGTGGGATTTCAAGGTTTCGTGCGAACTGACATCGATGATGATGGACATTACCTTGTCCGTAAAAAGATTACAATTTTACTAAATAAAGGTAGTTTATTGTTTCTTTTGCTGGTTACCATGAATTCTGAAGGTATATCAGCTTCAGATCAACCAAGAAGCTGAAAAAGTTGCTCATGATAATGGTATGACAGACATGACCATGTCATCCTGCTAATTATGATCACTTTTAATAAACATAATAACGATACTTCTCGCTGTTATAAGTACTTTACAGTCGTAATTCTGTTCATCACAAAACTTTTCGATGATTTATTCCGTTTATCTATTTTATGTATAATTTTCTCGATATTTTACACTGGGATGAGTCCATCTTCATTATATATGGCTCACAGACAGTTCACAAATGCAAACTGTTACTTGCATGAGGCATATCGTAGATTTGATATTTGCCACCTTTCCATGTAGCGATGAAAACAGTGTACCACACTTTTTTGAGGTCCTCTTGCCCCAGCTAATGAAACAGGAAACATTGTGAATATACCTAGTCTGGATTTATTTATAATTGACTCTGGCAGTTGTTATAAAACGAAGGTTTATCGTAACTCTGCTAACACAGATAAACATCTAAACCTTAATTCACGCACTCATAGTTTGTCAGATAGAACTGTGAAGCTGTGCAATAATGAATTTCTTAAGGAAGAAATAAAACATTTAATTTTCCAGTTAAATTCATTAATGATATTCTGAGCGTTAGAATAACGTAGCTCCGCAGCTAATAATGCAGAAAGTAATATTTTAAATATGAACCCTTAGTTAATTCTACCTTGTCATACAATCTCTAGCGAATGGTTGCAAAAGTTATTTAGCAGTAAATACAATATAAACACCTTGCATCCTCTCCTTTTATCTGATTAGCTTTTATCGGCGGCTGCGTCACGGATTCGAGTCGACGTTCCGCTACTCTTTTCGGTATTGTGCTCTTTGCTTCTTCAGTTGACCTGACATCTCCGTTGTTGTTTCGTCCTAGCGGGATGTTTAACGGCCAAGTGGACGCCTCTAGCTGAAAGAAATCCCAAGTGGTTACTCGCGAAGTCACCTGTTGTGCTACAGACGAGCCACGTGCTCAGTCGTGTCTCTGAGCTGTAGGCGACAATGAATACCTCCA